TGTACGCGCGTGTGCCGCAGGCGATGGCGCAATTTGTTCTAAAAATAGAATTATTGTCCCATATCATGGTGACAACCCCAATACTAGGAATGGCGCGCGCTTACGGTCTCCGTCCCCGATTATGGCTCCTGGTTTCTGTGGCAATGTTTCTTATTCGTGGATCGTTTCTGCATGGTCGACAGCGTATGTTTTTTAGCTTGAGACTCTCACTGTTAAACCAGTTCAATGCTGTTCAATTAAAGTAGCGCCCTGTATAATTGACCTGAACGTAACACCAGGTACACAAGTCGCATTTAAAAAGCTTATATACAATTGTAAGGTCTGTGAGGGAGAGACTTCAAGGTTCATTCTCCTCGATTCGATTGTAAGGGAAAGTCTTCATTTTCCTTAAGGTGGCTTACTAAAGTTTTGATGGATTATAACAGCTCAACTTCTAACTCTTTTGAAAAATGTTCCAAGATGTTTTTCCTTTGTATATTTACTGTTTACTTAAGTCTTTTACCATTCTATGTGAAACTTGAACAATTAAACGTCAACGAATGGCCAAAATGAACGACCGAGTAACTAAGGAGAGACTGGGCACTAGTAGGTTAAATCACGTTTTTCTCAAAATCTACCCGTATAAACCCACCTCAAAATTTCAGGAATAAGAAATTGGCTCTGATTAAACATTCATGCAAAGTAAAATAAAAATCTGTAAGACAAATTTTGAGTTATCTTTGATTTCACATTTTCTTAGTTTGCGAAAAGTCTGCCTTATTCTGAATTATTGTTTCACATTCGTGCGTTCGTGGATCTGTTTAGATGTTTGACATTGGCGTCATTCGTCACGAACTCAATGGAGCTGGAGTAGCGGGAGGCTGTACAACTCGATGTAATTTCGACGACTACGTTTAGACATAAGCTATGAATGGACTCGCGTTATTTAATTAATACAAAAACTCCATTCTCAGCCTTTCATAAATCATTTTCCGAATTCAGTAGCTCACAGCCACTTTGATTTAACAACTTTGCAACCAAAGAACGATTTTGGTTCAACAATATGTTTAACCATTTATTTTTAACCATGGTTACTGATTTTTTTCTTCCTGGCATGGTATTTAAGTCAAATGGGAACTACAAAACCAATTCACAATGCAAAACAGACTATCCATAGTAATCTCACTGTCGCCTGCGAGATGCAAGTGCTGTATATGGATATCATAAAGTACTAAGCTTAAAATCAAGTTTCAAATGGAATTACCAATCGCGTGTCTGTCTGTCTGGCTGCGACACGTTTTGGAGTGGCTTTGCAAACAAAGTGGTATTGCAGTCTCCCCCACCAACTGCAAGACATCGAACAGAAGACATAAAGACGTCCAAAATAACTAAAGCGAGTTTCAAACCGAACTCACAGATGTTGCGCGTTGCTTCCAGTGTTTCCCAATTTTTATCACCCAGAGTTTTTTAACCAATTACTGAAAATTGGATCGAGATTTCTTCTTTTCCATTGCGTTATCTATCATTTCAAAGAAATACGTTCAGAATTTAAAACATAAGGTAGAATAAGTAAAAACTTACCTTGAAGAAGAATCCCACAGATTTCTTTGTCGCATCAACAGTTCTGTGATTCGTGGAAGGGGGTTTAAGGTTCGCAGAGAAGTATTCAGCAGACTCCAAACATCACTCGTAGACAGAGAGGGAGAAGTGCTAACACTCTTGTCCTCTTGCTTCAAACTGATACTATCAGGGTCTTTTTCGATTCTCTTTCGCGGGACCTGTTCCCTGGTCGTGATTTGTGCAGGAGGTTCATAGCGCCGCGGAGAACAACTCGGCAGACTGGAAGCTGCGCTCGTAGACGGAGTAGACGAAGAAGGCGAAGAAGCAGAGCCCAGATCTCTCTGTTGCATCAACTGTTCTGTTAACACAGAAAATGTCTCTTCGATGTTTACACCGGTTTTGGCGCTTACCTCAATGTAAAAGAGATTGAATTCGAGACTCACATTTTCCGCTGTTTCAAAGTTCACCTCCCTGGGTTCACTGTCCGTTTTGTTTCCCACGAGGATGATAGGTATCTCACTTCCACATCTCCCCCGCACCATGGACACCCATTCGCGAATATTCACAAGAGAATCCCACGAGCCCACGTCAAAAACAACAGCGGCTCCATGAGCCCCTCTGTACAGCTGCGGAAGTGAACTCGTAGTGTTATACTGTCCTGATGTATCAACAATTTGAAGCAGAATAGACTTGCCCTTGAGCTGAAGACGCTCGTTGTACTCCCCACAAGCAATGGTCATCGGCATATGTTCTTGAAATGGAAGATTGGGCCTGACAAACTTAGTTGCAATGCTCGTTTTCCCGACTCCCTGGTCTCCAACCATGACAACTTTGAACTCGTAGTCATACTGGCCAGCGGTAACACGATGGATCGGCCTGCGCTGAAGGTTATCTTGTGATCGATGAAAATCTTTGTTTTCCTTGAAGACGCTGAGCGCCTTCACCAGATCTTGAGCAGCTGGACGGTC